TAAATAAAATATTACCATATAATTGATAGTGACACAAATAAACACGGCTAAAATTTTTTAGCAAAAATCTTCATTTATGAAAAAGATATTAAATATTTTAATTACAGATGCCAAGTACCAATATATAGACTTGCTAAAAAGAATCAAAAGCTCCTGTTATTAATAACAATGAGAAGTAGCAAACCAAGCGAGCTTTCAATCGGTGGTATATTTACAGCGTCGCACGAAATTTTNTTCAAAACAATGTCTCGAACAGGACTGAATCAATACGAGCAACATTTTATACTCTCGAATAGAATAGTAAGATTTCTACTAGGTCTTAATGATAATGTAATTTTGAGTGACGTGGAAATGCGCAATTTTTTCATATTTTTTTTCGTTGTTATATTTTTTTTACATCAGGTAAAGAATTTTTCATTTTTTTCGCGTTTTCGTAGTGTCTATTTTTTTTATACTAGGTCTACAACTTTGTTTGCTTTTAAATAAATCTCTAAATAAATAGATCATAGACTTCATACAACAATTTTTACCATCTGTCAACATAATCCCCCCCTATAATATATCTCTCTCTCTCTTTCTCTCTCTCTTTCTCTCTTTCTCTCTCTCTCTCTCTCTCTCTCTCTCACTTTCTTTCTAATTAGTAAATATATAGATTAGAATATTGTAAATATATATATTCTTGATTTTAGTTATACCAAATTTCTCAAATAACTATGGAATCGCAATCGATTTACAGTTTGCTGCAAAAAATTTTAGCTGCTTTGGCTATTTCTTGCTCTTTTGGTGCAGTTAATTTAAAGCTTTCAGCAGTTAGTATAATAATTTTATTCCCTTTCTTTATAAATACTTGTAAAAAGAAGTTCATAAAACGCTGAGTAATGGTATTGTTTCATAGGGAAGAGATTTAGTTTCGTATATAAAACATGATTACGAGAACTTTCTAGACGAAAATGATTTAAAAACATCCGACAAATATACGAAAATTACTAGATTTTATATCATCATTTTGGTTGGTATGTACACTTACGTTGAAGATATGGATGAAAATTTAACTAATTAAAACGGTCTTATTTCTTAGGTAGCATTATTCTTTACGGTATTTTAATGACAACTCCAACTGTTTTAAGTATTTTCCTGTACATGTATAGATCATTAGACAGTGTGAATATACAATATATATTTCCTGTAAACAGTAATTACTCAGGATTTTTACGTTACGGTTTGCTTATGTGGCAATTAATAACACTTTTTACTGCAATAACAATTACATGTGTGATTTATTCAATATACTTGGTATTCATTCTACACGCGTGTACGCAATTTAATATTTTAATGTATGTCTTTTACTTAAATATTCAAAATTTTTTAATCCAGATATTTGAGTA